GTCCCCAGAATGTGTCTGTGAAGTTTCAGCTCAAAATACTCCACAGATCATTTATTATATAATTTTGAATATGCCTATTTTGAGTAGAAGCAGAAACACGCTGTTTTTCGGGCCGGTCTCTTTAAATGCAAATGAGCTGCTGCTCCCCGCCCCCTTTTCCAGAATAGAGCTGCGCCATTACAGCTCGTATCTGCTAAAAACATCTGTTTTGGTTCTGATCATCATGTTTATCGCGCTAAAATCATGCGGTTTAAACCATATGAGTTTAAACTTCTGATATACGTTTTCTGAGTGCACACACATGAAGCACATGGACAGAAAGCTGCCACCACACAGCATGTGAGTTATGGTTCATTCACACACAAGTTTACGTTAAAAACACACGAGTTACAAAAACAGTCGGTTATGTCTGTGAAGATAAACTGCTGGGAAATAAATCGCATGTTTATTTTAGATCTAAACAGTGTTCGGTGCTCGTCTGTGCAGACAAAGGCAGAACAGCTTGCATGTTTTGCTCAAACTTTCGCCGTGGCATTAGAACTGGTACACCATTGTCGCTTGTGAAAACACAATGACGGCGCCATGGGTGGAAACTTACAGATTAAGTTAATATTATAATGAGATCCCTTTGCAACGTCACCAAGGGAGCAAAATCAGACGCGCTCGTTTTCTCAGACGCTTGCAGAAAAAGACTTACCTAAACAAAGTTACTGGGTTAATCTTTTTTACGTTTCCTTGGTTGGTAGATGCAACAGAAACCTGATTATAGCACTTAAAACCTGGAAAAGTCAGATTTTCATGATATGTCACCTTTAACATTTATGTTTCAAAAGCAAGTTATATTGTTGTTCACTAGTAATGTGTGTGTGTGTGTGTGTGTAGCATTGCATTGACGACAAAAAAAACGGTTACACTTTATTTTAAGGTGTCCTTGTTACAGTGTAATTATACATTTAAGCACTGAGTAATATTAATTAACTACATGTACTTACTATATGATTAGGTTTAGGATTAGACTTTCGCTTAGGGTTACTTGTATGTAATTATGCATAATTAATTGTTATTATAATAGTAAGTACATGTAACGTGTAACAAGGACACCTTAAAATAAAGTGTTACCAAAAAACAATGTTGCATCGGTGTGTAAGTCCCATTTCATTATTACATTAAGAAATAATGTCAAATACTGGTACAAAAAATATAAAACATTTACAAACATTATAAATGCTATTAACATGCATTTTAGTTCCTCTCACTCCACAAAAAAATCCTTTAACTTTAACAATATTCAGAACAGACCATGAAAAAAAATCTAAGTATATAAATTATAGTGCTGTTCATTATAAACAAAATTTATTATAAATGGTAAGCTTAAACAAATGTTTTAAAGGAAAGCTGAAACTATCAGTATGTGGAATATGCAAATAAACTTGAACTCATGTACCAAATGTGTGCACTTTTGTGTGTTTGACATTAATTGCGTTATAGAAGTTGCTTTGGAATAGAAGTCACAGCATGATTCAAATGATAAAAAAAACTAGGACTTACATTCCAGATACTATCTATTTTTTAGCCTCTTACAGAAGAAGTTACAGGTCTGTGAGAGCCAGAAATCTTGCTTGTTTGTAGGTGACCAAATACTTATTTTACCGAGGAATTTAAAAATCCTACAATGTGATTTTCTGGATTTTTTTTTCTCATTTTGTCTCTCATAGTTGAGGTATACCTATGATGAAAATTACAGGCCTCTCTCATCTTTTTAAGTGGGAGAACTTGCACAATTGGTGGCTGACTAAATGCTTTTTTTCCCCACTGTATATCATATTTTGTTTAATTATTGTAATATTATTTTATTTATTAATATTTTTTAAGATTTCCAATCTTTTGAAATGTGAAGCATATATATATATATATATATACTGTATACATAATTATTATTATATTTCATGTTGTATTATTATAATTAGGAATGCACTGATACCACTTTTTCCAGTACTCGCCCGATACCGATACTTTTATTTTTGGTACTTGCTGATACCGAGTGATGCGGTCAACCAGCTTCACGAAAACCTCAACTTCAGTTTTTTTTCCCAGACTCGGTCTGATTCATTTTTGGTCCCAAATTTGTATCAATTTTACTGGTAGTCCATTGTATGAATAATTTTTGGGTATGATTTGTCACAGTTTACTTTATTTTGTTATCATCACTTACATAAATGAACTATAGTGTCCTGCACCCACTAGTAAAAAAAATATATCTGGTCTCTGAATAATTTTTGGTTTGATTGTATATCCTTCGGTTATTTTCACACTTAATTATGCCCATTAAAATGTATTTTACAAGTTTTTGTTACTTTCACTGTTCATTTTTTTGCTCTATGGTACATCATCTTTAATTTAATAGCATTAGAGCTGCTCCATTGCAGCGGCTTAGTACTGTAATCACACGCTTTGCTGTAATAATGCAGGGAACCACTCGTTATAAATCTCCTGTGATATTTTCAGAAATAGAAGTCGAATTTTTTCATCTGAAACATGCTGCAATTTATATTCCAAAGCCACTCATATAATGCAGAAACACTCAAGCAAGCAAAACACGCGCAACGCATGCACGCATTTGTACTGATGCAGAATAGTACAGCCTAGCGCGTTTCACACATACTGCTGGATTCACTTTCGCCATTTCGTGTATGCCCAAGGTTGAAAATAAATGATGTTTATAGTGAATTCCCCTATGAATGGTCTTATTTTTACGATTTAGTTTTAATCCAAATGATGCGTGTGCTAAGTGAGTGAACATCAAAGATCACACAACAGAAGTGCGCGCACTCTCTCTCTCTCTCTCTCTCTCTCTCTCTCTCGCTCTCCCTACTGTTAAGTAGCGTGTGCATTGTTTTACTTGTTCTTGACATATCCGACCGAACTACAAACTTTCCAGTGATGTCTGTGAGAAAGATATATTCATTCGACAAGCTCGCGCATCTGTGCCGCCGTGCGCTCTATCCACTCAGCGTGCTTTATCAGCTCGCGCACACCAGCTATACAGGCGTTAATACTGAATGTTTAAGGTTATATTCATTGCATACATATACTTCGTAGTAGACATCCTTAACTCCATTCTGCTGTCTGTTGTTCTGTTGTTGGTGTTTCTTTGTTTGAATATGGCGCTTATCACATGCTGTGTGGTATTGGCGTTTGGTATCGCGGCATTTAACGAGTACGAGTACAGAATCTCAGTATCGGTATCGGTGCATCCCTAATTATAATTATCATATATTGTACTTTCAACCTTTGAAATGTGAAGCATGCAGTGTTGTTCATGTTATAGTCTACATATTGCTTAATTTGTATTGTATTATATTACAAAATAGTGCAAACACAAAAAAAAAAATTCTCTCTCTCTGCAGCTTTCGTCAACTCTGCTAATCAAAGTGCCCAAGCCCAGCTCGTACCACGAAGCCAAACAAGCAGTGTTGGAGTACCATACGGCCAAGCAAACGCTCATCAAGGCCTTTCACAAAGCGGGCCTGGGAGCCTGGGTGAAAAAACCCATAGAACAGGACCAGTTCTCGCTGAACTCTTGAAGAGGGAACTTAAAAAGACCAGGACATGACAACAACCAGCTGTTTGTGCGGGGATGTGTGTGTGTGTGTGTGTGTGATGCTGTTTGTTCTCGGACAAACCAAGAGCCCTTTACTGTCTGTCATTTTGCTCTCTTTGTGTGAATCATGACTCTGCCTTTTTAATTTGTAATGTAGAAGCAGACTGTCATCTAACGTATGTTTGTTTTTAGTTAGCGGCATTAGCCTTTAGCAGATAACGGGACGTAATGTCATTTGTAACTGGAAAAATTTTCTTTTTATTTTTTTGTGAGAGAGGGTTGTTCCGACAAAGCCTTGATGCCGTAAACGTGCATGTTACGTGGCTTCAGGTCGACCACACCGCTGTGCGCACGGGTCTGAAGGTTTCCTGGTCCAGCCTACCCAAATGCTGGCTCACCTTTTTGAGCATGGTTCTCCTTGATATGCAAAACATAAGCATATTTATATTTTTTATTCCATTGCCTCCAGATTTTAGAAGGGGAAGAAATGCTATCACATAGATCATAACTATACAGCATGGTCCCTTTAGATAGACAAACTTATTTTGTCCGGACTTTAGTGTAGAATTAGCGTACGCCGTCTTTCTAGTCAAAATAGATTTCAGATTTTAATTTGACCTCAGAGGGAAACTTGAATTTTTGCATATGGTTCCTTGAGAGCTATGTAAGCTGTATTCCCAAACGGTTATTTTAATTGGAAGATGGAGTAGTTTCACGGATGCAACCAAAGTGCATTGACGTTATTAAACAATGTGTCGTGGCTGTTAAAATTTCTCAGAGGTCTTAAATGCATGTGCGAATTACATAAGGCTCACAAAGAATGCCCTTTATTCTGGGTTAAATACTTTACTGGCCTATAATGCACCATTTTAGAAGCCCTACTTTTTAGGTGTCTGCACTATATTGACTTTAAGCTGCATGGAGTCCATTGGATCACTCAAACCAAATGGCAGATTTCCCAGTGAACCTGATCTGCTAATGTGATCGAGTTATGTTAAAGGAATAGTTCATCCAAATATGAAAATTCACACTTATTTTGTTCCAAGCTCCATAGGACTTCCAAATTGTCTAAAGCTTCGCATGAGGAAGAGACCAAAACCAAAACCATTTGAAAGTTGGTGAGTCTATTTCTGGTTGAACTCTTCCTTCAACATTCAAGCTGCATTTAGTCACTGCAGGTTTGAGAGCAGGGCATCATGGGAGTTCAAGATGGCAGAATGGTCTGAAAAATGCACGTTTATTATTGACAAAAGTCATCTCTGCATGCGGAAGCAAGGGTTTGCAGAGGCGACTCTGACTTTTACTTTATCCTTGCGTCTTGTTTGAGGATTTTTTTATTTCCTGCATAGACCTGAATGCCTACATTCCTCCTCAGAGGTGCGCTTCTGTAAGACTGAATTCAGCTGTGTCCTTGAGGATGAGGTTTCCCCTCTCCAGGCTTGTGCTGTAGGAAGGTCTGAGCCAGGAGCTCAGGCGCTCTTTGATTTATGACTTATCCAGTGCAGCATGTTTGACTGGTAAGGTTATAGAGAGCTGAGAAGCAGAAGTATTTTCTCCACCGATCATTCATGTGCAGAAAATTGGGCTTTGGTGGTTTTCAGATTCCAGAAGCATTGCTGTTTAATTTAAACTCCTGGTGGGGTTTATAGTCATATAATTTGACACTTAAAACGAAAGATACACGGTTGCATTAGTATTTAAAGGAATTGGTGACCCAAAAATGAAAATTGTGTGATTTACTCGCCCTCAAACATATATGCATACCATAAACTGTATAAAAACATGGACGTAGTGTCCGTGACGTCACCCGTAGATTTCCGAAGAGCGTTTTTGAAGCTCAAAAGTGGGCGGAGGATAAAATCATCTGCTAAATGCATAAATGTAAATGTATGCTGTAAGTCAAGCTCTAAAAGTACAAAACATCAATGTAAAATCAGCATAACATTACTCTATATGACTCTGTGTGAAATTGACCGAAATGTAGGAAAATTATTCACTACTATATGCTGTACACGATCGTTCAAAAGTTAGGGCTGTGTTTATTTATTCAAAAATCCCATAAAAATTGTGAAATATTATTACAATTTAAAATAACTGATTTCTATTTTCATATATTTTAAAAGGTAATTTATTCCTTTGATGTCAAAGCTGAATTTTCAACAGCCATTATTCCAGTCTTCAGTGTCACACGATCCTTCAGAAATCCTTTTAATATGCTGATTTGGTGCTAATAAAACATTTAGTATTAACAATGTTGAAAACAGTTCAAAAGAACAACATTTATTTGAAATAGAAATCTTTTTTTAACAATGTAAATGTCTTTAATGTCACTTTTGAGCAATGTAATGCATACTTGACGAATTAATGTATTTTTTTTTTATTATTGTACGGATCTCAAACTTTTGAACAGTATTGTACAGTATGTAAAATAACAACATCTGAGAGTTGCAGCAGAAGGAAAGATTTACAATCATTAAATATTGACTACTTTAAAGGTGGTTTAATGGGTTTATGGTCCTTTTTTGGGTGGTTAAGATTGTTCAAAGGCTCTAATAGGAAAAGATAACAGCATACAGGTTTGGAATGGTGATTTTAGGAAGGTCAACTATTTCTTTAAATCTTCAAAATTGTTAAAAGTACTGATGTTCGCAGAGTGAGACTTCAGTGAGACTTCCATGAAATCAGACCTGCTTCATCCTCACCACGGTCATTCCATTTTCCCCTCGATGGCATCAGGTTTCTCCAGCGAGATTGTTGTTGATTTTGAAAACTTTTAAAGTAACCAGCAGTATGCGCGTTTATCCGTCCGTCCTTCTGTTTGAGTGTGTTAATTTGTGCACCTGCTGCTGAGCCCAGTTGGCATTCTGCAGAGACATCATGGCAACAAGACTGAGAGATTGCTGTGGAATCTTCACCAAAGATGTCAATTTATTTTCCTTTTGAAGATTATAAATCAACTGAGACTATTTTTTAAAAGACAAGAAGGTTATTGGTGCAAAGATTGTTCAGCATTTTACAGTTTTGCCTTGTTTGAGTTTTGTTTCTTTCACTAATATATTTTTTTTTTATGTGTGCGTTGGATTTGAGTTGGATCAGGACTGGCTTTGGGATGCGCTCGTCATTCTCAGTGTTCTGGTACACAGTGGATGTACTGCTGTAAATATATTGTGACCCTCTCCGATGCCGTTACAGTAGACTCCTTGCATATGTATTACTAATTTTAATATTTCACACAAAAATCAACATGCATTTTCGTTTTAAGGTCTTTACTCTAAATGCCAGGGCGGCCGTGGTTTGTGCCGTAATGTATTTCTGATGGACTCGTGTGAGTGTATGGGGATCTGCAGTACTGTAATGATTAATGACTGTACACTTTGACTCCTTTTGCTCTAATGGAAACGATTGCAGAATGAAATTAATGAGCACAGACGGTTCTACATAAATGTGGCTCAGCAAAAAGTAGCTCTTTCTGCTGGTGACACTTTTCAAGGACAGGAGACTTGTGGGATTTTATTTTTTATTTTTTCTAAAAAAACATCCTAATTTCATCTTCGCCTTCTCTTCTGCTGCCGTCTTCTGTTATGGAGGATTTTGATGGCGTGAGACGCCAGTTGATGATGTCACGATTTTTTCTTGTTTATTTGTCCTTTTGGGAATCTGAGCCGTGTCTTAGCGAAGAGTCCTGACTTTCGTCCTCCTGGTCCTGGTCAGCCCGTTTCTAAACGTCTTGTGATTTGGTGACTGTTCAGTGGAGTCCGGAGGTGGTCCAGCTCGATCTGGACTCGATCTCGGTCCACCCCGTCTTTTGCCTGTCCTTCGTAATATCCACATGGGTCACCTGCATGAGCTACTTCACCGAAGCTGCACCCAGCATGATGACATAAGGACTTGTATGTAGAAAAAGGAACAAAAAAATAGATCTATATATACATAAGAAAAAAAAAAGGAATAAAAAAAAAAATCTTAGTTTCCCTTTGCATATTGGTGTCATTTATTTTCTCCTTACTGTGTGTGTGTGTGTGTGGTTTGAGGACACAAATTTGTATAATAACATGGCTATGACATGGGTATTACAATGAGAAGGTGATTTATGAGGACATTGAGTGTCCCCGTAATTTAAAAGGCTTATAAATCATTCAGAATGAGTTTTTTTTTTTTTTATCTAAAAATGCAGAAAGTTTCCTGTAAGGGGTATGTTTAGGGGTAGGGTTGGTGTAGGGCCATAGAAAATACGGTTTGTACAGTATAAAAACCATTACGCCTATGGAGAGTCCTCATAAACCATAAAAACCAACGCTTCACAGAAAACTAGCTGAATTATGATATATCTCTGTGGCTCTGTTCCAAAACCTAGTGAGCTGCCTTGCTGTCATGGGAGACTCATCATTAATTTCAGTAGAGTTTGGCTTGTTGTTAAGCTAACAACTTGATAATCTAAGCATTAAAATATGTCTCATTGTGTAAACTAGTCCATTTTTATTTAGGTTGAACTAGAGCGAGTTTTTTCCATTTTTAAATTGATTCTAAAAGTAGTTCTCTTAGAAGGCAGCATAACCCATTACAAACAATATGCATTTACTGATGAAATTTAGCATGTACTAAATTGTAGCATGTAGCATATAATAATGCATTACACGCTGTATATTAATATTTTTATTCAGCAAGGGTGCGTTAGATTGATCATATGTGACCGTACATTGTTTAAAAAAAAATTCTAGTTCAAATAAATGCTGTTCTTTTGAACTTTCTATTCATCAAAGATTCCTGAAAAAATGGCTAAAATGTTATTTACTTGTTAACTCTGTTATATATTATATACATAAGTATTGATGTTCTATATAAATTGTGATGTGTGATGTAAATAATAAAAAAAATAATTTGGTCATTCATAATGCACTTGTAATTAACCCTGTGCTGTGCTGAAAATCCTTTACCTAATTTGGTGATCCTGGTCAAAAATGGCCGGCCTTTTAAAAATTGCTTGTAAATCCATTTTGCTATATTATTACCAAATCTTAAATAATGCACCTCATTATGCTTATGCAACTCAGTTTTTGATCAATGAGGCCCCACCATCAATCAGTTGCAAAAAGAAATACAACACCTGTGCTAATTGAAAGAAAACAAGTTGATAAAAACATTGAATCCAGTATTTGGTAACAATATAGCATAAGAAATGTATAAGCAATTTTTTAGACCGGTCATTTAAAATGTTTTGGTGAGTTCTTATATGCCATGTGAGCAAAGTTAGTAACATTAACTGGCCTTTCTGGGGGGGGGGGGGGAAACATCTCTGGGTTAAAATGACCAAAAAACAACATGAGGGTTAAGTAACTTTTTTTTTTTTAAACATTACTTGAAAAATATTCTTCTGTTTGGAACAACCCATGACTGAGGTGACTTTTCTCCCTTTGAAGTGCCCTGTGAAGGCACCATTTATGCCAGCTGGAACACAGTGGAGGTTTTGGAACAGAGTTTGTGTATGTGTGTGTATGGGGCATTGAAATGTCCCTGTACACTGTAAAACAACAACTCAGTGATTCTCCTGTTATCAGTGCTGTGTTGACACTCGCTCTTGTTACAGATCTAGACACTGCCATGCACAAAGTCTGTTTGCTTTTTATTTCTCGGCACAGGCAGAAATTGAGCAGGCCCCCGCTGCTGCTGCTGCTGTCAGGTTTAGGAGTCCTCCGCAGTCACTCCCACAAGCCCCTGTGAAGTTTGGTGAGGTACTTTCAGGACAGCACTGCTGGAGAACTTCTACCAAAACTTCTTCCTGATCGGAAAGGTTGGATGCGCTTCCTCGGCCAGTGGACTAATTGTGAATTCAACTTCAATCATCAAACTAGGTGCATGCCAACAAACAGTAGGAGTGTTGATCATGTTATTATTTCCCTTTAATTACTCTGTCTGATAAAAAACTGTCTCCGATTGAGTTTGTTTGAGTTGTCAGATGCATAGTGCTCTTATTAATAATGAATCAGTAACCAGTTGCACAGACATGCTCAAAAACACTGGGATCTCTTTATGATGTTCAGCTGGGAGTTGGCCTTCCTCTCAAGTCGCAGTCATCCAGGGAAGCTCTAAAGTTTTCTGCCTTGCTGAGATCTTAAGCACATCGAGATTGATGCCTCCCTTCCATGTGTGCTGGGTGTTTCACCTTCATCTGGATTATTAGAGGGAATTATTCACCAGCTGATATGGGGGGGGAAAATAGGAGGTAAATTCACTGCAACAGGTTCCCACGCTCTTGAAATGCCAGAGAATTTTCAAATTGGCATTATTGCACTGCCTAATTTCATTGGCTAAATATTTATATTTGTGATTGTTTAAACTTGCTCACAAGGCAACTTTTTAAAGGGGTCATATGATGCGATTTCAAGTTGTCCTTTCTCTTTGGAGTGTTACAAGCTATTCGTGAATAGATAAGATCCCTAAAGTTGCAAAGACTAAAGTCTCAAACCCAAAGAGATATTCCTTATAAAAGTTAAGACTCGTCCACGCCCTCCTAAAACGCCTCGTTCTAACACGCCCCCACATATCTACGTCATGATGTGGGAAGATTTGCATAACGCCGCCCAAATGTTTACACAAAGAAAGAAGGCATAACTTTTATTCTTGCTGTAGTATTGTTGCTGCCGCCACCTTGTCGTGGATATGCTGTGTGTTTCGTTGTGAAAGCGAAACTACTTTGTTTGGTCTTCCAAAAGAGGACACGACTAGAAATCAGTGGTTAAGTTGTATTTACAGCACTCTTCCAGAACAGTTCAAC